CCATGCAAAGTCAGTGCTCAAACGAATTGATTCATATACAGATTTTTCTCATTTTGATCCTTTGAGTTGTTTTTATATATTCAACTGCTGGTTGCTTCCATCGTCACTTTATATAAAGGGATCGGACACTTCCATGCAAATGAATATGTCTCAATTTCAACGTGAAATGGCATAACTGAAACTAAGCAGTTTCAAGATTTTTCTTGCGTTCTAAGCCGAGTAATTCTTTACCCAGGGTACCTTGTYCAGGCTTGCTACTAATACCCACGGGCAATAGTAATGTGGGGAGTGGGACATCTAATAATCTGGAGTGTGGCGGCGTGAAATTCCAAAACAAAATTTAAAATTATGGGAATAAGTTTCCTGTATTCGAAGAAACATATCAAGGCTCCATTAGGAGTGGTTTTATTCTCAAGCAATAACCAATTCTATTAATCTCTTTATTTGCTTTGTTAATCATTCACTGAGGAATTACACAAAAGCATTTCTGAGCTCGTTATCCATGAAAGTGCCTTTCTCGGATGGTTTGCAATTCTCGTTAAATGGAGGCCATTTGAAATCTGGGTATTTYTTACGAGCTCCTTCTAAACTATAGCAGTATACTATTCCTGCATTTTTTGTCTGCATTATGTTGTTACACCCAGCAGCTTTGGTGGTATCTGCGATACCGATGGCATTTTCTCCTAGAAAAACGATAGACTGCTTGGCACCAGGATCGCAGACCGCTTTCCAGTACCATCTTGGTGCCAGAACTCTTTTGTTGAGCTTGATGATATCACCCATTAAATTTCTTGCTTGACCACCTGCGAAGAATTTGAAAGCAGATGAGATGTCGAATACGACTTGTGTTTATCGAAAACACGAAAATTCRGTCGGTCAGCGATGACACCTTGGTRATGAGAAGTTTTCTACACTTTTCTACTTTACACACTTAGGCAAGACTTTCACACATAACACTTACCAACTCCAGTAAAGACATAAACATCCCTTTTGTCGTTTCGGGCACTCGTCCTCACAGCTTCCTCGAGTCCTGCCCAATTTTTACTGTTGAAGTTTTGCCATTGTGGTGCAATGTTGGTCGTTATCATGGTCAATAAACGCTGATCGTCSTCAGTGAAGTCCGCATTTGGAGTCAGATGTCCCTTGGCGCAAAAATATTGGTTCTGGATATCATAGTTGTCGTAGAGCCCTTTTTGGCTGTAGGGGTCATAGTCCGCAATGGTTGMCTGTGGTTTTGGGGCTGAAAACATTAAAGYATCAGTAAAATYWGGGTATGTTTATTGACTATCAAGACAGGTGGATCAGAACTAGTAGAGGCTGAAGGGCTCATTTCAGTCTCAATGTGGCTGGGATGAGAACGAGAGTTATATCCCCCTMCCCTACATTTCCCATATGCAAAATGAATATGCAAAAGTATTACCAAACGTTCCTACGTCTGCCCTCCAGTCAGTGTCTCTTCCAACACCCTCGATGTCTTTCCTCACTATGTGACCCGTGAAGTCTGGGATAAGTGTGTTGGTGTTGTAGCAAACAGCAAATTGTGCTACAGGTGGTGCTGTGCCATAACAGAGCTGCACGGCTGTTCCTCCTTGTCCTTTACATTGGACTGGTCCACTCAGCACCGCATCTTTGCTTCCTGATGCAGTTGTCCACTTGGTGAAAAGACACTTGTTGATGTCATTGGCAAATGCGTTATCATTGTCTCTCTTCCATGGTTGTGCGTGATGCTCTATTACAAACAATGACATAAAGAGGGTCGATTTTTTTATCCATGACTGCCTTGTATCGAAGAAAACATATTTGGAAATAATAAACATCCACGCTATTTCTGGTATTAMAGACTTAATTGACTTAGTTGCTGTGCAACTTGCTGCGAGCCGCGAGGCGAACAAAGCTACTACTATTGACGGTTTCCCTGTGTTTCATTGGGATCCCTAGATCCTAAATCCTAGTGCTAGATGCCAGCGGGGTTACTTCGCTTAGGTTCTGCTTCGATAATCATAGACAAGCCAATCGCCTTCTTTTTTTACGATCTAATCATGTCAAACTTAAATAAATTTCTTGCTTAAGTATGTCAAGAACTGTTTTGAGGGATATTTTCTGAGAAGGCAATCCGGTGTTATTTTATGAGTTTTCGTTTGTATAGGCAGGGACGGCGGAGCGGTTTTTTTTATTGGGGGGCTCAATAGTGACATTGTATGGCAAGGTGGGGGGCTGAGTTTAGTGAAAATGTATTAAAATTTCACAAAAAGCCCCCCCGGCTCCGCCGTCCCTGATAGGACAAGAATATCTGATGATTGAAAATATGATCAGTTCTTAAACTACGCGACTGGATCACAATTGGTTCTCTTGTGTTATACGTTCTCACCTCCAAATTTCCTTTTGAACTCCTCACTTTTACCTTCCTGCAAAAATAGGATCAAAAGAAAATACTTGGCAAATGAAGTTGCTATCAGATTATTTCAGATAAAACTAACACAAACATAACCCAACATAATCTTGTTCAAAAAAGAAAAAAAAAATCTTAGTATCTTAAATTCAAGAATAAGGAAAAGGACTTCGTGTTAGAGATGACGTCATCACCACGAGCGCGCATTCACTAGTGCTAATTAAACTCATGCGTAGACAGGGCTCCAACAAGTTCAAAGCACGTCGTTAAACAAACAATTAAACGAATTAAAATGAATAAACAAATGGATATATATATATAAAACTAACGATACTACTATTGATGRTGATAAAACAATAATAATAACAATAAATGATAGTAATAATGATGATGAGTGCTTTCCATCCCTCCTTCCGTCCGTCTAGATACCTCTCTTCTCTCTTTCTTCGAGTTCGTTAAGTACAATAAGAGTAAATGAGAGTTGATCCGAAGCTTTCTATTTACCATTTCGTTGATAGACAATAAGGCAACCACCACAAATAACAGCATCATATTGATATCAAGGTCTTCGATGTAGCATATATCTTAGCTGCACTCTAAAATTAAACTAGAAAGTTRACAAGTATCGAAATCAAGGGTTTTAGTTCACTCGTCTCTAACTCATGGGTAGGGGTCTCGGGATTGATTCCTCAGTGGACTTGCCATCGTCAGCCAGTGACTGGACTTAGGTTCTACGTTCTTTCTCTCTCGCTCTCTCTCTTTTTCTATCTGTAAAAACCCAACGCTGGGTACCTAATTCCGCTTGGAAGTTAGCCGTGAGACCAGAGGTTGCATGTTTCAGGGTGATAACAAAATTGAGAAAAATCAACAAGTTCTAAGTTTGCTTTTTACCTGTTCTGTTGGTTCAGTAGTATTCGTTGATCACTCTTGTGAATGCTAGTATTTTGCACCCAGACAAGCTCATATATATGGGCAAAATAAGTAGTATCCATGCATTTGTCATCCGAAATGATTGGCAGACGCAAAGCAAATATTGAACTTTGAAAACTTATGAAATAATGCTGTTTTTTTTAATAACAATTAAAAAAAGTGTGGTTGGTGCTTTTAGATGTCTTCTTTTTTGGTAACTGTTCGTAAAATGTTAAGAGAAATAAGACTTGCTCGAAGAAATTATTCCTTAAAATTTCCAGATGTGTACAAAGGRCTTTTATCTAAACATTGCATTTAACCGTGCAAGAAGCGTTTAAGAAATACGATCTAAGAAAAGATCCATAAAAAGAGTSACCAACACGTGGTTAATTCATCTCGTGCGGCGGCCTGTCATGGAAACTAATCAAATCGATATTTTTCCATATTCTTCATAAAAAATGTGGCTTCTAGAGGTGTTTTTGTTCTGGTGTCTATAGTCTTTATAATTTCAAGGAAAATAAGACTTGCTCGAAGAATTATTTGCTTAAAAGTTTTCGGTCATGTACAAAGGACTTTTATCTAAACACTGCATTTACTAGTAACTGGTGCAAGTAATATTTAAGGAATACGATTCAAGTAAAAGATCCATAAAAAGAGTCACCAGCACGTGGTTGATTCTTCTCGTGCGGCGGTCTGTCATGGAAACTAATATTATAATATTTTTCAATATTTTTTCATATACTTCATGCATGATTGTGGCTTTTAGAGGTCTTCTTGTTTGGTGCCTATAGTCTTTAAAATTTCAAGAAGAATAAGACTTGCTCGAAGAAATAGTTTCTCAAAGTGTTCAGGCCGGTACAAAAGGCGATTCAGTCCTATGGGGAAAAAAGTAGATCAGCTGCCGCCCCGTTTCTCAAAAAAAAAAAAAAAAATCCTTATGATCTAGGAATTACGGAAATACTATGCGAAGCTATGGAAACGAAATCTTACAAGTATTTTTTCTATATATTTTATAACTGTATGTGACTTTTATATATCTTCTTTTTTGGGTGATGGATTTTAGAAATTTCGACAACAAGAATAAAGACTTCTTTCGTTCAAATACAAATTTTTCTTAATGTTTTAATATTTTCAGGCTGGTAAAAATTTTCAATAACCACGTGTTTTGTGGGTGTTAATTAATCCAAGAAAGAATAAAAAAAGGCAATCAGACAAAAGGAATGTTTTTTTTTTTTTGGTGTCAAATTCAAACTCTGCTTCACATGGGGGAAAGGGGTCTGCCATCGTTTTCTAGAAAAAAAAAAAAAAAAAAAAAAAAAAAAAAAAAAAAAAAAAAAAAAAAAAAAATCCTTAAAAGAGGCCGTCCGTAAATATCGACTATTGTCAGAAAAAATCAAAAAGTTCAAAATTTTATTTTCCTTACCAGAAGATTGCATTAGTTGAGCTGATTCTCAGAAGAAAAAAAAAAACTTTTTCTCGCCGAAAAATGACATTTTCGGTTTTCCTCCTTCCAGGCGGGTTTTCATGGGGCGGCGGAACAGGGGGTCCGGTAATAATATTATTGCATTTTCGTGTAGACGAAACATTGCTCTCTTACCAGGATATATTTTTGAATCTATAGGGGATGTAGAAATGGCTGAAAAGATGCCCTGATTTTGATGTATTTTTTCGTACTGAAAAAATGTCAAAGATTCAAAAATTCACTGAATAATAAATTTTATATCTATAACTATAATGCCAACTATTATTTGTTCTATCAAAATGTTGTATTGGTTTTTTGTTTCCATTGAAGGAAATTTTTTAGAGAGTTTATAACGAGGCGTACTTTTCACCCTTGAAAACCCGCCTAGAAGGGCAAAACCGAAAATGTCATTTTTCGGCGAGAGAAAAAAAATTTTTTTCTTCAAGTTTGTTATTTTTTTTCCTGAAAATAAGCTCAACTAATGCAATCTTCTGGTGGAAAATAAAATTTTTAATTTTTTGAGTTTTTTCCGACAGTTTTTTCCGATCTCTTAATGATCTTTATCTAAGCAAAATAAGACTAGTAGCTCGGGAGCAATGCCATGGAAACGCAATCACAATAGTATTTTTCTATACATCATATAACTAAATTGTGGCTTTTAAATGTCTTCTTTTTTTGGTGCCTATTTCCTTCTAATTTCAAGCGACTCGTTAGAAATGAAAATTTGATTCTGATATGTTTCCAGGCAAGTACACACAAAGGGCTTTTATCCCAGCTTCGCGCCAAATTTACCAACGTGTTTTGTGGTCCTTGATTAATTAAGAAGAAGAAAAAAAAAAAAAACTGAAAATTTGATTCTGATGTTTCCAGGCAAGTACACACAAAGGGCTTTTATCCCAGCTTCGCGCCAAATTTACCAACGTGTTTTGTGGTCGTCCTTGATTAATTAAAAGGAAAAAAGAAAGAAAAAAAAAAAAAAAGGAAAAAAGACAAGAAATTAAAAAAAGAAACAGCCTAGCTGACAAAAGGTACAAAATATCAAAATCCTATTGATGTATCTTTCTTTATAATATAAGATTGGAAAAGTCATTTTGATAATAATATACCATATCAATCCAAGCTGGACATGAATAYAATTATTGACGGGTGGCGTTGTGGTTCACGTCCGCTCTTTTCTCACCACTGTGGTCCGGGTTCTAGCCCCCGGCTCACTGAACGGATCATATGTGTTGAGTTTGTTTGATTTGTTGTTCTCTCCCTTGCCACGAGGGTTTTCTCCGAGTTCTCCCGGTATTTAAATCAACATGCATGTGAGTTGAGCGTTGTATGTAAAAATAGAAAGTATTGATAGTTTTCAACCATTTTCAAGAGAATTAAGACACGGCGGCCATGTTGGAGGATATAACAAAAGAATTCATTGACAATTCTTTTGTTAAAGTCCTCCAACATGGCCGACGTGAAAACCATCAATTGCGTGTGGAGGGAACCTTACGCAAGAGGAGTACGGCGAGTAAAATATAAGTTATATTTACAATATATATAATATTTTGGTAAACGCTTGATTGCTTGACATTATTCTTTTGGTTTGTTTGTTGGTTTTAAGTGGCTTATGCTATAAAAACGTTTCAAGAGAAGAAACGTTAAAGCTAAAAGTACCTACATTTTGYATTTTTATGTATCACGCACTTATTGATTTGAGCCCATATCAAACAAGACGTGTAACCTAAGCCTCGGCTACGTTCACCCTCCCCAACTGAGGATCAAATAGCCGAGAAATCACTTACGTACTACAGAACATTTTTCTTAGTTTTTCTTATTCATGAATCATGACTATGGTGAAGCGATAATCAAAACTTTTTCTTTTTCTTTTCAACTCTGGTGTTATTATTTCTCACCCTGCACCAGCGCGTCCAAACTCACAGCCCGTGGCTATTCTCACGTTCCACATCTCCCCTGGGAAAACGGGTGACGACCTTATTCGCCCATCTCATAAACACCTTCGTTCATACGGTCTTTTATACTAGTAAAGGACAAGTCTGCTTTAAATTTTTCCCTTGTCATCGCTGCACGTACTTCAATTTCTTCATATGAGTCAAGTACCAGTTCTTCCTGTACAGGTTCAGGCCCAAACAAGTTTTTCAGCCTCCTGGACGCTGAATCCAGCACATTATAGCTTGTATGTTGGTCGCCGTGTGGTGACTCACTACGATTCGGTTCCTTCTCACTATGGGTAAAGTAGATTCATGTGTGTTTTGGATACTTTTTGTTTTTCTCATGTGACTCGGATATTTTAGATTTCCGCCTGCCATTGTATTTTTCACACGTGTAACTTGTATATTTTATGGGTTTTGATGGGCGGCATAATATGGCTCGGATATTTAGGTTTATGCATGGCTCAAATATTTTTGGTTTTTGTTTCGGCCCTCAGGCCGAAACAGTCACTACATTCGGTTTGCCGGACCATAATAGTCTCCGTGCGTGTCATTTAGCTGTCAGAGTTTTGGACCTAATCCAATCATATGCCGTTTCCATCATAAGCAATGGGAAAATGTAAAACATTTCACCATGCGGAGTATTTGGGAGGGTTGCGTGAATCTTCTCYGAGGTAGTTGTGTAGACTAAAGTTATGYCCTTTCGCATGACGCCATTTTTTGGGAAAAAAATATAATATTGATTAACCCTACGACAATGCGTATTTTATTCCTAAGTCAGTATCTAGGTCCAAGTCGCCAACTAGGTAAGTCATTGAAAAGTTATCCAAAAGCTTTTGTGATTGTGCGGCAACAGTCTCAGCTACCTGTGAGCATAAGCTGAGAAAGCTGGTGAGTTTATCTATGTAACTAACAGTTGATGMATATATATTTTGTGAAGCAAGCTTCCGATATGTTGTAGCTTCGTGCGCATCTGAGGACATGATTTTGCTATCAGCTATTATTTAAATTAGGTCCTATAAACAAACAGTGCGTACTTTACAACTTTAAAGATAGATTTCTATAAAATCATCAGCTTTCATTTATTAATACTCTGATTTAAAGTATAATTTCTTGGATTCGGTAATATTTTTGAAGCACCAAAAGATGTAAATTTTGAGTTGATTGGTGACGGCGCACTGGTCAAAGACAAGCCTTGTATCTATTCGTTCGAATTGAGACTTTCGCATTTTCTTCAAGCTACGATATAAGAGCTAAATACATTTACCATAAATGTCAAAGAGCAGAATGAAGATTTAAAAAGTATCCTACATTCAACATAGCGCGTACAGTAATGCTCATGTGCCAAAATATTTTGCACCAAGTACTCTGCTCTCTGCGAT